AAAGGAATGGAGAAAGAAAGGATTGCAAAAGGGGGAAGGGCCAAAAAAAACAAAACCCACACATAGACACGTGACATACAGAAAGTGGATGACTCACCTTCTGTGAACGATTCACCGATGTTGTCGAAATCTTCCTCAAGACGGATCTGGTCATTGTCAAAATCCGACATCCTGGTCCGGTCCTCCAACTGGCTAGCTATGCGCTGTGCAAAGAGTGTGATCAGAGTGTGGTAGACCTCTTTAGTTTTAGTACGGTTTTACGACGCTCTCAACTGCATAAGGTCATATGAGCGCCTGATAGACCTCTATTCTTCGATTATTTTTGTTGTGGCTGTTGCTGTTATTTATTTGCTCGTTTTAATCTAAACACACACGCACAATTTCACAAAGTAATACAAGTATGATTTTAAAAATATTATGGCACTTTGACTTGATCTTCTATGACAGATAGCGCTGTTGTTACTGCAGTTGTTGCTGTCGATGTTATTTTATGATGAGGGAAAAAAAACACCAAATAATTCTGATGGTGGTGATGTTGTTGTTGTTATCGACCACTTTAGCTGTCAACCAGCAGTCTCACGTGTCAAGAATACCACATAATATAAATAATAAAACTTTGACACAGTCATAATATTCTGCCCCACGAAGTTAGTCCTTTAAGTCCTAACATTTGTTTTGGCTCTACTGAGACACCACCAATAACACACCTGAGCCAAAGATTCTCTTCTATACACGGTCTTTGCCTGAACGATACAGGTAAACGAAAACCACCGGCGATTGCCCTCAGGTAATAAAGAGCCAAACACAGTAAACACTGATGTGTTTAGGGGCGTGTTGTCCACGAGTCCACGAGTCCACTGTGACTGCTCGCCGACATACGTCCATTAGCTTATCAAACTCACAAATGTTGCTCGCCGACACAACAAGTCCATTATCGAACTCACAAATTATGTACGACACTGGATCTAGTGGTCAGTGTGTGGACCAAGGAGGTCAGCGTGTGGTCAAACACAAGCAGCAGACGGTACGACATACATGATGCATTTCGTAACACCAAGATTACAGGGGCCACCGATCGTATGACCAGTACAGAATGAATCCACAGAGCTGGTCATAAATTTCAGTACACATGTACCTGTTTAGCCACAGTTCGTTCATTCACGAAGCTCCTGGCAGATTTACTGTGTAGTCGCAGTTGCACTCTGTAGCACTAGACCTAGACAACAACAGCACGACATGCATTTTAGTGGGAAGCCTCGCTTGTGGTTTCGACACAAGCGTAGAAAGAACACTGTACTGTATGCATGTCGACTGGATATTACAACAGTACGACCAAGGCTCCTAAGATATTTCACAGTTCTAGTTCACGGAAGGAACAAACCACACACACACACACACACATGTATTGTATAGAGAGAAAAGTTCCAGTTTTATTTGACACGGATCAGAGACTCCGGCCCGGAACTGTCTGCAGTTATACATGTCACACATGACCGATCCCGTACCGCCACAAAGAAACTAATTCTGTTCTCTTCTTAGACGTTGACCAGTTACATTGTAACGTATACTACACACGTCTGTCTGTGGTGTGTGTGTGCGTGTCGTAAAACGATACACTCAACACTCAGCACCTTCGTTCCACGAGTCTATTTGCTCGTGCTGTGTAAGGCTACTACTAGCACATGAGACAATAAGAGACATGTGTTGGCCTTCTGGTGGGAGTGAGAGAAAACGAAATCGCTTGCAGTCTGTGTTTACTTCTTTGTATCCTGGTTCCTAGTAGCGCACACGTAGCTTTGATCAAGCAGCTAAACAAAGCAGTAGACAGGAGGACTCCACGACAAGGATTTGTGATCTGACAGACTTTTTCAATAGAAATTGGGGAAGGAGTAAGGGGGGGGGGGTCAATACCAACAATAGCAATAAGAAAGGAGTCTGGTTGAAATTTTGCGGTGAAAAATGAAAACACCTGTTATATAGATCAAGATCGATCGAGGCAGTATTTTTAGATTTTATACAGGAAGTGAGCTGCTTCGATCCTGCCTGCCAGGACCTTCCCTGATACAGCATCCCAGCAGAAAGACGGGAAATAATCGATTCGATTGAGCTTACGTTCCCCTTTATACCACAGACAGCAATAAGCACAGATATGTCAAACGAAATCGTGTGGTTTTCGCATAGGCGGTTTGCTTAACATGAACAAAAATAAGGAAAACAACCTTGAACAACATTTCCAATAGGTCTATTGCTGGTAGATACAGAAAATACATAATTATTATACTTTCCCCATGCACCAAAGACACCAATAAGCAAAGATATGTCAAACAAAATCGAGGAGTTTTCGCATAGCCGGTTTGCTTATTATACATAAATAGAAATAAGGAAAGCAACCTTGAACAGCATTTCCAATATCGTTAGTAGATACACACAATACATTATAGTTACATAGAGTCAGTTCTTGGCTTTCTTAGATCCTTCTAATACGGGGTGCCCAGTGCCCACTACGGATGGGATCGGCCAATCGCCCGACCCGGAAACCTCACAAACATGTTTGTTTTCAGTTTCTTTGTTTTATTTTTAATTGGACGATGACCGTCCACTCCATAGAAAAGAGGGGCAGATTTCTCCGTCCCTCGGGTGCCTCGGGCATTATCCGCCTCCCTAAATACCAGTCGTTTCAGTTTCAGGCGACCGAGTCGGGCGATCGGCCCGATCCTGCCGTAGTGGGCACCCCATATAAGAAAGCTTATATATATATATTATTGTTTGTTTGTTCCAAACTTGGCCCGCGGGAACACGCCCCCATTTGTTTGGTTGCGTGACCCCAAAACCACGCAGGTCCACAACAATTATAACATGACACGAAAACTCACTCAGGGCACTGGGTCATCATTCATCACGGGCGTGTCGTCAGGAGGTCACTACACACTGCACTCTACACACACACACTACACTCACACACTCTCACACACACACACACACACACACACACACACACACACACACACACACACACACACACACACACACTACAAACGGCCACACAATGTCCGCGCTTGGGACAGGTCGTGACGTGTTATGTAACAATAGACCATAGACCTAACATACACAGTTGTGTATAAGCCCTGTCGACCTTGACTGTGCCCTCACTGGTATATATACATCATGTATGACCAGCTCTCTGGCATGACTGGCGGATGTTTCTGTGCTTCTGCACTCACTGACCTCTGTCAATAATGTGCCTATCTATCTTCTATCTATCTATCTATCTATCTATCTATCTATCTATCTATCTATCTATCTATCTATTGACCTGGCCAATCAATAGATCTACTGTGACATTCTTTATAAACGTGTATTATTGTGTGTACAATTTTGCATTTGACTGGCTTCAAAGTGAATGCTTATATTATAGTAAGGTAAAGGAAATCGTGGCGTAACTCATCCTCAAATATCTGTATAACGGGTGAATCAATGTCACTCATACTTTGCTCAGCAGTTTGTACCAATTAAATTTGTCTTAACTTTATTATATTTTCCCACAGCAATCGAGGCTAGATTTTTTTTTAAACTTTTCTCCATAAATATTATATCAAATACTACAAACCTCTTTCGCGCGGAAAATGAAATTGTTCACAGCACTTCCCACTTCTCACGCACATTTTGCATACGCTTAATTATATATGGCCTACGTCACAGCTCACCAAGGACACTTTTAGTGGCAACATTAATTAAAAGACATTAATTTTACCGTGAACAATTTTTTTGCAATGAAGGTTCTCAGAACATGCGTTCAATAAAGATAATCTTGCGATTGAAAAAAATGACGGACTTGCTTTTAAAAGCGATATTGCCCCACCTGTAAACCTTTTAAAGTCAGTAGTAACCGCTCATTAGAATTTTTAATTAGTATTTAATTATTTATTAAGGCATTTTCTAGAATAGAGCGAACAGATCTTTACAAAAATATTGATCTGTTAAGACAAATTGATACAAGCCACTGTGCTGTTGCAAGAGACTTTATGTTCGATAGGTTGAGGGTATATTTGACGATAAGTTGCGCGACGAATTTTTGACAACATTATAATCAATAACATCATAAGAGCAGGACCACATTCAACATAAAAATTAGTGGGAGGCTTCACAAAATAAAGGCTTTAGAGAAAACAAAGAGAGGAATACCTCGTAACTCCTCATGGCCTAGAGGTTAAGGTGTTCACCTCACATTCAGAGGTCCCGGGTTCGAGTCCGGGTAGCGACCGAAAAATTTTCTTCTCTCAAAAATTGTCTCGTTTCACCTCCCTTCCTGCTCTCAAGCAATGTTCAGTCGTCTGCTTTCGTCTCCACTTTCTGCCCCCGCCCCCTCACCTTATTTCATACTCCTCTGGGCTCCTGACCCTTTCTGCAGCCTTTCTACTGCTACTCCTTGGCTCCTTCTTACTGCTCTCTTTCAGCCACACACCTAATCTTCTGGTTGGTAAGATCTAACACCTTTATGGCCTTCTCGGATGAGGGAGAAAATCTCAGAGGTCCCGTTTGCACGTTGCGAACGTTTAAAGATCCCTTGGTGGTCTAAAATCAATAAAAGTAGGCTTCGGCCACTAACCAGGCAAATTTCAAAATTTCTTACCAACTGAAGCTGATGTTCCATGTGTCCCGCGCGCTCTATATCTTGATGCAGTGTTGCGAGCGCCGTGAAACACTTACCGAAAATTTGACAATGACAATGACAATGACAATGACAATGACAATGGCAATCTTTATTCATCTCGAAGGGAGAAATTTGTCTTGGTCGTTAACAATGGCAGTAGACGTTACAAAAGTTAGACTTAATAAAGGTGCACTCATGCAAACGCACAACAAGACAGGGCATTAGGCCAAGTAAATACAATATGTCGCACGGGCTGGGACAACCCGCTCCGTAAACATTCTCAGTCTCTCTCTCTCTCTCTCTCTCTCTCTCTCTCTCTCTCTCTCTCTCTCTCTCTCTCTCTCTCTCTCTCTCTCTCTCTCTCTCTCTCTCTCTCTCTCTCTCTCTCTCTCTCTGTGTGTGTGTGTGTGTGTGTGTTTCATTTGTAGCACTGTGTGTTCAGTAACCTCACTGCAGTTGGTACGAATGAATTTCTATATCTGTCGATAGTTGAAATTCCGATGTCAGTGAGTGGCTATGGTCACTAAGCATTATTTCCGCCTTTCATTGAGCACCATCTCCCTCGTTTTGGTGGGACGCTGTATCTCTCCCAGACAAGTTCGGCCAAGGCTGGCGGGAAATATTTACAACCAGTGAATGGTCGCTTTTAAGCGCATGGGGGCTATCCCGAAAAATACTTTTTGAGAAAATCAAAGGTAAAGTTTTTGACCCTTGTTCAGTTTCTTTAAAAAACAAGGAGAGTTTTCTCTATAACCAAACAAATATACACACCAATGAAACCAAACTTCTCCTATAGGTAGGGCAATGCCCACGTTTGGTTTAGGTCAAGATTTCTGGAACCCCCCGAAATCTGAGTTAGCCCGCTTGTCCTTAGAAGCGACCATATAATATGTTC